TGAAATAAAAAAAAAAAAAAAAAAAAAAACATATATATATCCGTCTGATGGTGCGAGGCAAGAGGAGTCGATGGTGTCAACGGTGTATCGCCGAGGCAGCAGACTCAAGTTTTAACACAGTATCAATTCAGGGCGTTGGACGGTAGTCGTATCCCAGGAAATGATGATAGAATATTAGTGGAATTTGCAAGAGGTGAGATTATTTTAATTAAAATTTTGATTTTATTTTGTATTGTATGTTTAAATGTTTTTATTTCTGAATAGGTAGTACTTGGCGTGGAGCTCGTGAAAGTCGTCATGGAAGTGGTCGTAGTTATGATGGACGACCACCAGAAAGATGCTTTAACTGTGGACAAATTGGTATGTATATGTTGACAGTACCCTTATATGTAGTGTTTGGAACTAAATTATTTTTTTATACAATAATCGGATTCCAAATTCTATTTGCGTTTTCAAATTTAATTAATTATTATCTTTGCATTATTAAATATTTAAAGGTCATTGGTAAAATGAACTATCCTAAATTTGCTGATTACATTTATTTGTTATTTTGACTTCTATTTGTTTATTTTTTTTTAGGGCTAGAGATTGGTAAGACGTGATAATAAAGTTTGAGTTTGATATATAGTTGTTTTTATTTGTTTTTATGTATTCCTTCCTTATCATCTCATTTAACTCTCAAATTTGGGCATTAGTCCAGAACCGCCGGGAAGGTAGGGACAAATTTAACTGACCGCTATACGATTGTTTCTTTTTTTTTTTTTTTTTTGCTCATCTATTTCATTCATGGTCTTTAACATTTTAAACATTAAGTGGCGAACGCTCTCGTAGGTATGGATCGAAGGAAATGTAATCCTCAATGTCATAAATAATTGACTAATAATTGAAACTTTGCATTTTATATTAATTATCGTTAGATACGAAGAAAATCGATGTTTGTGAGTTGTATATCGCTAAATATTTAATATGTTGTGATCACAGATGTCCTCAACACTATGATTTTGAATACTTCATTATCTCGTCATTAATTAGTACCTGTGGGCAACCTGGGCACCGTGCCAGGAATTGTGTAAGGTATGGATGTATTTTCTATCTCGGAATTTCATTTGATTGGTTATTAAAATCAAATGCTACACATTTTATGAAAGATATGGGTCTGGTGGATACCGCGGAAGATCCTACTCTCCATATCGTCGTTCTCGTTCTCGCTCTTCCCGCCGTTCTCGCTCACCTCGACGTTCCCGCTCACCCCGCCGTTCCCGTTCACCCCGCCGTTCCCGTTCACCCCGCCGCTCCCGTTCACCCCGCCGCTCCCGTTCACCCCGTCGTTCCCGTTCACCCCGCCGTTCCCGCTCGCGCTCACCATTTCGGCACTCTGACCGCAAGGATCGAGATAGAGATCGAGATTAGGATTGCGACCCAAGCCTTTTTTTTTTGAATTATGACATTACTACATAGTTTTGGTTTGGAAAAAATTGGGATTTCTACATCATTTTGGATAATAATCAAAACTTTCCGTTTTTAGTCAATAGTGTCAAACTCAAAAACCAATCAAATTTGTTAGATTAAGGTTATAAATTACTAAAATTTTGTTATTTTCATTTTCAGATTAAAAATTAAGTGATTTAACTACTAAACAGGATATGTTGAATAAAACGATATTTAGGTCTACTAGTTATATTGAATATGAAAAACAATTATAGAAACGAGAGTTTCCTTCAAAATCGGTATCTTATTATCGTTATAGTTATTGTCCTTTATCTTCTATCGTTGATTAACTCATAATTAAGATACTCGTGAAATGGAAGAATTATGATCAATTCCCTATGATCAGAATTCTAATGAAACACTTCTGCATGATAATTGAAACCAAAAAAGGAGTACTATAGCATAATATACAGTTTAAAATTGTCAATCATACGTTTATTTTATAATCACTGTTTTAGTTTTGTCACATGATTTTAATACATATCGGCGGATCTGCGGAATGGATGGACCCTGGATTTAACAATTGCAGAATGCAGTCCGGGAATATACCATATTTGGGGGTCGTCTAAAGCCTGGCACCTCACGAAATTACCCGCATCACGGGAAATCACGAAACGCACGTGGTTACGATTATTTCCGGAGAGTCGGCAATAATTTTTTTTTTTTAACGTTAATATTTTATACTACCGCTACCTGTAATATTACTGTATTATATACAGTATTATAGGGATAG